GGGGGGGGGAGATTGGGAGAAGAACAAAGTCCATTGGCATGTGAGGAAATTGGAACTGTCGTCTCGGTAGTCTGTCCCATTGTCTTTCTGTTGAGAACCAGGGTGGCCACTGAAGGTTGTTATACTGTGCAGGAAGCACAACCTCCTGTTTTTGTCTGTCCAAGTGACAGAGAAGATTTGGGATCGCGTTTTCTCGCCGGCTCCGGTTCCCTTCGGAGCATGGATTGCAGTTCCTTCCATGCCCCTTCAGTCTTTGCTGTGATTGTGTCAATCACGGAGGTTCTGGCTTGCATGAATCCGAATGTGTGTTGTTGTCTTTCATGAGCGCAACGCATTCTCCACGCTGCCATGAAAACTGCTAATCGAGTATATGTGAAAAGGTTGAGCATGAAGGGGGACCACTGTGTCGCCCCCGGCAGGGGCTCCCCTAACAAAAGGGTGCCCACATTCCATGGGAGATGTGTCTCTGTAAGGTGGTGCCAAGCTGCATCCCACCAGCTCCAAAGTTAACCCACCATGGGTCAATCCAGTAAGCAGTGTTCCAGGGTGGCTCTTTTCTTTGGGAAGGCCTGTGTACAGTAGGAGCATAGAGGGGACAGTTCGCCTTTGTCTCCATGGTTCGTTCTCATGGTTAGCCAGTCCGGTGTGGGCAGACACCTGTGTATTATTTGCCACTGTAGGGGTCTATGATTGGTCGGGTTCATGTGTTAAGTAGGTTGACCATTCAAAATTTTGGAATCCCGTTTTTCCAGAGGCGAGTCCCTCTCCCAACGTTTGATGATGCTATCCATGACGGGTAGGTATTTACGTGTCGCTCTGTACCCTTTTTTTACTGTGCATTGCCACGGGGTTATTGTACAGGATTCTCCCCATGTCCATTCTCATTCATCGGGGTCAAACGGTAGGAGATGGAGAGGGATGGTGGGTTCATAAAGGAAGCATGTGATACGCAACCTCACGCCCCCTCGCGGCTTCCCGTACGGGGTCGCCGATCAGAGTACTAGGAGGGGCGTGGCCGAGGATTTTTGGCCGCAAGGGTTGAGTCTCCCGGACGGAACGGGAGGCTCTCGTTTCGTGGCCGAGGTTTTTCTCGGAGTCGAACTGTCGTCGCGAAGTCCCGTGGGGGTCGGATTACTTCGAAATGATAAAATCAGAAGGATTTCTGTGAAAATGAATTGCCGTCGTGCATCGGGACAGAAAAGGCATCAAGGGGAGGGGGCCATGGCGGCGGAAGACAAAACTTCGACCGTTAGGGGTTTGGGGGATAGGTGGTGGGTTCGAAGCCTTCAGGCCTCATCATCGACTTCACAAAGTGTCTGAACCCTCGGGTCTTTTGCCGTAGAGGTGGTTGGTTCGAGGCCATCAAGCCTCGGCGTCGGACTCATAGAGTCCGCGCGAAAGTTTCCGGGAGGGTAAAGCGGGGGGAGGACTCGCCGGCATCTGAATTCGAAATTGCGCGGGCAGCGCCCCCACACTACGGGAAAGTTCGGGGAAACGTGTCGCTCCCTCGTAACCTAGGACCAGTCGTCGCCACGAGCACGAGTCCCCTTGGCGACACCAGCGACAATCAAACTACGGTCGTTACGCGTCGTGAGCGGCCGACCAGGGCAACACCGTTAAGCCCGTATAAGGCAATATTAGAGTCGGGGAATCAAATCGATCAATCAACACAAACCCGTTCCCCCTTATCTCACAGGCCCGCGGCGGGTCTTGCCAACACACTTGCTCCGTCCGCCTCAGCGCGCGCCGTACGTCCGCATCGCAGTAGACGCTGTTGTCATCTGTGATGGGGAAGGTCGATAGCGAAATGAGACGATCGGAGGTACGCGATGAACACGGGCAAGATCCCGCGTTCCCGGTAATCTGAGCCAACACCGAATCCATACAACAATCGTCGCAACTTTTCTCTCTAAAAAAAAAGGGGTGCGTAGGGGGAAGATGACGAAATCTAAGCTTTCTCCCCTTGGCGGGGGCGTCGACCGTCCGCGCGGACGCAGGCGGTCGACGTCACCGGTACAGGGATGATAAGCTCTAAAAGCGATGACTGTCAGTTCCGAGGAAGGCGATCGAGGAAGGGAAAAAGGGAGAGAGAGAGTGAGAGAGTGAATTACGCCGAGACCGCGCGAGAGCGCAGGAAAGACCACGAAGGGGAGGGGAACAACCGGATCAACACACTCATACTCCTAAGCAGACGGTCCCCCAGTTCTTTTTCCCCATCCCCGCCCGGACAAGTACATACACGCATACATGCACGCGATCAGCAGCCCTTGACAGGACATCTAATCATCCATGGACCTTTGACGTCGCTCATGCGCATAACCAGCACCCTTCACTCGGGGCTTCACACACACGACATGCATAGACAAAGCAGCAATGGAGATAAAAGCGAGTCCTTCTTGTGCACAAAAAATTCAATTAACTACCGCCCCCAGGCGCAGCCTTCAAAACTCCCCAAGACCACCGACCACCCTAGCCGCAAGGCCCTGCCCCAGCCGGCGTCCAATCCCCACCATTGCTCAGTCCCTCTGACTGCTTCGCCCCGAGACTACCGCGGGGTCCACCCCACGTCATCACTTCGCCCGTCCCTGGGCTCGTCGAGCCTGTTCGGCGTCGCGAACTCTCGCGCAGCATTGCTGCCGAGATCAAAAAGAGAAGGAGAGGAGAGGGTTGCGCAAATTTATAGCACGGGAGGCGGCGGGTTAATAGCGCGAGGTGCGAGCAGCGCAGGGTGTAGATGAGCAGGACAGGAGAGAGAGGTGGGGAGTTAGAGGGTTCGACCCACGGGATTGCATGGCTATGTGATTGGGGTGTTCGTTCAAGTGGTGCGCGGTTTCCTGCTTTCCACACTGATCCGAGCATCCCAACTACGCAGCCAATCACTTCGCGGAGGAAGACAGGGTAAGGATCAAGCTGGGCGCAGGGGAAGACGAAGAGTCCGGCATGGGGAAAATGCGCGCAGCAAGAAGGGAAGATGGCGCGAGGATGCAAAGCAAGAAACGGGGATGCGAGACGCGCAAAGAAATCGGAGCTTGGGCGCACGCGCAAAAGTTCAAAAAGTCCCAACCACACCCGTTTCTTGATTTTCATACCGCGGCCGCTATTCGCCCGCGGGAGTTATTAACCAAACAAAATAAAAAAGGCCGTTTCAAAAAGAAAACAAAGGCAAAAAGAAAGAAACCCCCCTTTCTATCTGCGTCCGTACTTCGGGGCTTCCGCGGGGTCTTCCCTCAAGGATACGGCAAGCCGCGCGGTACAGATCTGAGCTTATCACATCTGTGATACGCAGGGGGTTCCAAAAAATTAGCAGTCTCCTGACTGCTAACGTCATCATGTCTTGGATGATCGGGCGGCCTCTTCATCGTCAGCTGGCCCGATCATCCTCCTAATCTACGTGGGTGCATCCCGCATCCTCCATTGCCTCCTCCCATAGTGTACATTCGATTGGGCGGCCCTTTCATCGTCAGCTGGCCCGATCGGGAATTTTT